TGAGCATGCAATTGTTTTTGTTTAACAATCATTATTTTTTATATGTATTGAATTCACATAAATATTGTTTATTTTAATGAATAAACTTTAATTTAAGATGTTCATATTCACATTAAAAAAATAATAACATTTAATTCATTGAATAACATGCACATTTTTATTATAAAAAAACCAATTGGATACTTTTAACTGTGACTCACTGTAAATACTCTCCATTGCAGGGTCCACCGTCTATTTGACAATGTATCCTTACTTATTCTTCTTTCGCCCCACTATTTTACATAATGCACAAATAATTCCCATTAACCACAAAATATTCAAATGAAATTTTAGAATCTTCCTTTTGCTATTTTAATATTCTTAAAACTTACCTAAACCAAAATCTTCATGTGAAACAGCTGATGTTCACTTTAAAAATATTTTTCATGTTCTTTTTATTTTTATTTTAAGAAAATTCCCTTGGGAGTCATTTTCAACAAAAACAGGACGAAAAACAAACATTAGAATTAATTAAATTCTTTTTTAACCCCTTGTTTTTGGTAGTGTACAAATAAAAGAAAATCTCTTTACGCCATACAACCACAACAACAACGCCATAGTGTTGTTTATTTTTGGTAATACCACACCTAACAGGAGGCCGCCTAGCTGCTAAACGAAAAAAAGGTAAACATAATTTAGTGTGTCGTCGTTCTGTTGTAGAAGTAAACGAATACGAATGAAAAACGACGTGCAATATTGTGGGGGTGGGGGTTCTCTACAATAACAAATAGTACAGGGAACGACAATATGCAAACAAACAAAAAAAAACACGATGTGACAAAAACAAAATTTTGTCAGTTAGTTTGAGTTGGGCGGCAATGGGGGAGAGTAATTTTATTTAGTGTTAGAGTTAGACAAACACACACACACACTAACGTAACAATTACTGTTATCAGTGGTGGTGGTGGCATGCCAGCCACTGTCCACCAAATAAGGTAAAAAAGGACCTCAAGGTGCAGAAGGCAAACCAACCAAAGAACCCAAAGAGAGCAAACAGACAGTTATTAACACCGAGAGAACGAAATAGAGAGAGCATTTCACTTTAAATGTGCCAGGATACAAATTTTCTATTTAGCAGGTATGCCAACATATGGCAGGATAACTCTCCCAAAAAAACAAAAAAACACACACACTCTCAAATATTTGGCAACTCTTTTCCTTGTCACTTGAGGGGGCCACACACAAAACATCTGTTTGACATATCTCACTTACCTTGTTTGATTCTTTGTTGTTGCTGCTATCGTTGTAATATTTCTCTCAATTTGCATTAATCCACTGAAAAAACTGATTTATTATATCGGCATTAAGTTTTGACACATTCTTTTGTCTATTTAAAAGATTTCGTTGTTATGATTTTCTTTTGACCAAACAAGATCTGACAGAAGTTGGATTGTTGGTTTGGGGCATTATACATATTTCATTTCATTGCTCTCACTCAATCGGGGAGACACACAAAAAACACAGCACACACACGAAGAGATACACTGCTGCTAAAAAAACCCCATTAAATGACACACGCACACACAGATACACTCTTGTTCTTGCAAGGCAAAACTTCAGTTGATATTTTTTATGCTGCTTGCGGCCGCAGTCACTGTTGTCGTCGTCGCAGCTCAGTTTTTTGTTTATTGGTTTGTTTGTTTATGTATTTATGGAGCAGCCCCCACAAAATTTGAAGCGCAAGGAGGGGCAGACCCACATAAAAAAATTGTTTGTAGCAAAAAAACGCTAATAATAACAATTTATACACTTCTCCTTTTTAAATATTTTTCATCCAGCATTCCGCACAAGTTTTATTTCAATAAATATGAAACACCATTTGACAATTGAAATTTATTCGAGTTTGGAAAATAATTTTTCCAACATATTTTTCACTTTCCACTGCACTGTTTTTCATAAACTCTCTTTGGACTTTTGTCGTTTCTTTTTTTCTTTGCTCAGGGAAAATTGCTTATAATTTTGGACACACTCAATACAATTTTCACTTGGTTTTCCTTATTACAAATCAATTTCAGGTTTTAATTTTTCTTCTTCATTTTTGCACAATTGGTTTTCTTTTCAATGGTATATTTGTGTATTTTTTTGTAACTTTTTGTTTTGAAAACAATACACAAATTATTTGCAAAAATTATTGTTGTTTCTTTTTTTAGTTGTATTTGTTCACTCTGCTCTGCTTGCAGAAACAGAAAAATTTTGCAGCCCGCGCCCGCTTCACCGACTTTGAACTGTTTGCAATCTACGACGGCACACGCATTTATCCGTCGTTCACGTGCGTTCGCGTCAAGAGACTTCTCAGATTGATGATTGTTTGTTGTTTGGCAGACAACATGGCCGTTATGGTGGAAATAACGGCGTAAAGGCTTTTTTTGGTTTGCCGGCAGTAAATTTGTTGTAAACATCGAGGAACTCTCTTGACGGCGTTGTAAACTATCTTAAACTACGTTTATATGGATGCCAAGTATAATTCCACTATGAATAAACACTTTATTATAGTCCGTTTACATTATACCGGATTTCGTTAACCCAGTGGGTTTCAATTGTCAATTCCATTGTATACATGTCAAATAAATCCTCATAGGGTAGGTTAACCCGGTAAAAAGTTCTAATGTAAATTCCGTTTATAATATAACTTTTACTGCAATTTAACTCATTTTACTATTTTCTTCGATATCATAAAGGAAATTTCGTTATCGTAAAAAAAGTACTAGATTTTGCAGTACGGGAAATGTATATTTATATAATAAAAGCCAATTTAATTGAAAAAAATGAATATTAACAATAAATGGAATGCATTTTTACGCTTTATTTATTTTTTTAAATAAAAACAAGTTTTGAATAATAGAAAATTTTGAATGCTTTAATAGAAAAGTATTGGCTTTGATCTAACTTAAAAGCGTTTAGACTGTGAAATCTACTCGGTCTTTAATGTCAATTCCTAAGTTTGTGTTTATAATATAACTTTTACTGTGTCATACCGGATTTCGTTAACCCAGTGGGTTTCAATTGTCAATTCCATTGTATACATGTCAAATAAATCCTCATAGGGTAGGTTAACCCGGTAAAAAGTTCTAATGTAAATTCCGTTTTAGTCTGTTCCCGTACTGCAAGAATCTACTCGATTTTACTATTTTCTTCGATATCATAAAGGAAATTTCGTTATCGTAGAAAAAAGTAGTAGATTCTTGCAGTACGGGAACAGGCCATATATTTATATAATAAAAGCCAATTTAATTGAAAAAAATGAATATTAACAATAAATGGAATGCATTTTTACGCTTTATTTATTTTTTTAAATAAAAACAAGTTTTGAATAATAGAAAATTTTGAATGCTTTAATAGAAAAGTATTGGTTTTGATCTAACTTAAAAGCGTTTAGACTGTGAAATCTACTCGGTCTTTAATGTCAATTCCTAAGTTTGTGTTTATAATATAACTTTTACTGTGTCAATTTAACTCACTCTTGAAATTCTATACTAAATCGAGATAATTTAAATATGAATCTGATTTTGCCAAAAAAAACACTTTTCCTAAATGTATGCTTTACAATGAGTTAAAATTCGAAATACTGCGTTAAACGGCATTTACATTAAAACTGTTTTGCAGAGTTATTTTCATTTTATTAAGTAATGTAATTCACATTTGAAACCATTTGAAAATGTAATTTATTAAATCCAATATAATATTAAAAAAGTATGGAAACCGCTGAAATTTGTATCTTTTTTAATTTTTAATCCACTGGGTTTACTAATTTTTACCAACAACTGCATTTTTAAATGTTTGATCTAAAAGAGAGCAATCCTATCAAACTGATGAAAATATTTTTTGAAATATTGAGACTGAAATTATTAAAGCAGTATACGTAAACAAATAACAGCTGATAAATGAACTATATATCTTTATATATCTTACAGTCTAAACAGCTGGGATTTGGTATCTCGGTTTACAAATCGAATCGATTTGGTGATTATATTTGACATATACGCTGTGAAATTGACATTTGATCGAGTGGCCTCTTTGCAAAATCGATATAATTTTAAATACAACCCTGGTTTTGCACCAACAGATTAATCACTGGTCCTAAAAGTATGCTTCAAAATAATTTTAAATTCAAAGTAGTTGTCCAACAAAAAGATGACAACTGCTGACAAAATTGACATTTTTAATTTTTTTCCAGCAAACAAATATTCATTTCTCCTAAGAGTATGCCACAGAAATTATGTAATCAGTAAAATATGTATGTACAGTGAGTCACATTAAGAAATATCCACTTTGGTTTTTCAGTAGTGTTGGCGGTTTATTTGGGATAACATTTGTATTTTGTTTTTGCAAAATAGTCAGGTTGAATCCCAGTTTGTTGTTTTTATAAAAAAACAACGATTTATTAGTGGGGAATGTATGGCATTGTTTGCCGAGGGGTAAGGGGGTTTTTATAACAAAATTCCATAGTTAGGTTCTGGGTCGACGAGCTGAACTTGTACGTGTTAGTTCACTTTCTAAAGTGACCACCCTAACGCTGGGATGTTCATCGATCGAGTTTTTCAGGATTAAATGCGAAGTCCTTGCCAATATAAAAATCTATACCATTATCGTCTTCAGATCCTCACATACCAAATACCCTTCAATGGTATCTGAATTAAAAACACATTAAAATTAGTATGTTTTCTTTTATAATAATGTATTAGCAAATAAAAAAAGTATAAAATTTTACATAGCAAAAAAATCCACAAATAAGTGAATAAAACAGAAAATCAACGCAATTTTTTTAAATGTAATTAAATAATAATGAAAAACAAGTACATTTTATAAGAGTATTTTTCCAATTTTTAGAAATACAATTCTATAATATATATTTATTTTTGGTCTAATAACAAAAATACATATTTTATTGTTGGGAAACACTTGAAATCCTTGTTTTTAGTTGGAAACCAATATGATCTCATGAAATGTATAATATATGGAAATTAATAATCTCCTGTAACCGAATCATAATAGGCATCATAATCACATGAATCCGAATCGGATGTATCACCATAATCACTTCTTTCGGATTTTTCATCATCATCCTCGTCTTCATCATCATCAGCTGTTTTGGGTTTCATCTTTTTCATTATACGTGCCTTATAGCGGGCATATGCCTCCCCATAACGATCCACATCACAGCTATCAACATCTTGACAAAAGTTTTCCTCTTCGGGATCAATTGAATGGACATAGGGATCTTTATAGGCATTATAATAATTATCATCGTCACTAGATGAACTATAGAAATGATCATTGTCATCTTCTTCATCATCATCACCTGTGAGATTAGTTTGATAAGTAAAATTTAAATAAGACAATGTGATATTTTTATTTTATTACCAAACACAAATTTATCCAGGCCTCTAGCCAAATTCGAAGCATCATCATCTTCGTCTTCATCGTCAATGTCGTCACGATCACTGTTCATGGCTAAATCATCATCTTCATCGGGATATTCATTGGCAAAATAATTCTCTTGATTAGAATCTTCTGAATCGTATTCTTCATTGTCGTCATCATCGTTATTGTAACGATCTTCGTAGATGAAATCATCAAATGGCCGAACACTGTAATGAGAATATTTCAAAAATGGTGAAGGTAAAGAAAGTCAGCAAGAATGGCATTTAAAATTGTTAATGGATAGGTAAATATTCGACGCTGTTCATGAATCATAATAGAACAGCCAAAAGTTATTTTGCCAATCCACTATAAGCACCAACGCTGGAGAAAATGAGAAAACTATCGAATGGAAAATAAACGATTCACATTTTCGAACCTAATGATCATAAACTGCTTAAAATTATATCTCTTCTGCCTCTTTACTACGGTTATGAATGAATTGCCAAAAAAATGTTCTCTGAAAAGGACAATCTTTGATGAACATTTTTACAGCTGATACAGAAAGATGAGTATGGAAAGGTATTCCCAAGCAGCTATGGATAAAAATCTGGGTATATGATTATCTTCGCCTTGGACTCATCCTTTAAATATTTTTTTTTTTTAATTATTTTTAAAAATCGACGCTTGGATAGAACCTTAAAAAATATATTTTTTTTAATCTATGCCTTGAATAGACCTTTAAAAATATTTGTAAAAAATCTACAGCTTGGATAGACAATTACACAAAATATTTTTAAAAATCGACGCTTGGATAGAACCTTTAACCCTTTGACGTATTTCCACGAGTCTGACTCGTGGTACAATTTCTGTGCCTAACATGATTATGATTCGATTCTCATAATAATAAGAATAAAACTAGTTGATGCCCTGCACAACATCTAATCTAAAATAAATAGTTTTATTACATGCATTTACATTTCGTTTCGTTTTGCGGCAGTTCTTAAGCATCAAAACCGGTTTACTTAGTGTAAGTTGTGTGCTAATAATTGGAAGCGAACTTCGTTTCGATTATTGATACGTCAAAGGGTTAAAAACTATGTTTTAAAGCCTACGCCTTCAAACCGTAAAAATTGTGTATGGAATGGTATTCCCAAGGAGCTATGGATAAAGCCTTTAAAATAGGTTATAAAAAAATCTGGGTGTATGATTGGAGACTAGAAAACAAATTGGGTCCATCGCTCGAGTACGGAAGATCTATTTTTCAATCAAATATGGACCTATGATTAGAGACCTCAAAAAATGGGGTCTATTTTCGAATTCAGATTTTTTTAATTCTATTATTAAAAAAATCTAAAACTAAAAAAACTTGGTTTAAAAAACAAAAAAAATCAATATTTCCATTTCAGAAAAAAATAAAACAACTGTGTTTTTAGTTTTTATTTTTTTGCGCTTGTATTTTAGGATTATTTTATTTTCAAAAAAACTTTTTTTCTTATCTTGGCTTAAATAGAGAGGGGAAGTTTTACAATTACAGTACACGTTCTTTTTTATTTTTGTTTTTAAGGAATTTCTTAACAGTTTCATTTTTTGGTTTTTAAACCAAGTTGTTATTACATGTATATAGTTTACTGTTGTTTCTTATTATTAATATATATAATATATATGTAAAAAATATATAGTAATTTTATAAAAAATATATATATAAAAACTAATATTTACTTTAATTATGTAAATTACAAAAAAAAAAACGAAACTAAAAACAAATAAACAAAATATTTCAAATTGTACAAAAATTAACTATAGTAGTAAAAAAAATAGTAGGTAAATTTTAATTTGTTCGTTATTTTAAATTAAAATTAAAATATTTGTATCTTATTTTTATTGTTTATTAATTGTTTGTGTGCTCTTTGTTTTTTTGTGTATTGTATATGGAATAGTCTAGAGAGAGTTTTGTGGCTAGGAGTAGAAAAAGGAACAAGAGAATAGAGGATATATTAGACGAGTGTAATTTGTGTGATAAGTTTGTGGACATGTGTGGTGTATGGTATGAAAAAAAGCAACAACAACAACGACAAAACAAAACAACAACTAAAAATATGAAGGTAAACAACAAAATGAAGCAAAGAAGAAGATATGAGATCAATTTTGGTTTTTTTGTGGTGGAAAACAATTTTACATGACAAAAAATAATAGAAATTTTTCGTGCAAATGATGACCAAAACAAAATGAATAAACAGATGATATGCTAAATAAGAGAAACCCATTTAGATGTAGTAACTACACAGAAAGATCAATTCATAAAGCATTTGTCGTTCACAAATGGAAATGATGAACTAAAAACTAATTAGAATGAAATGAAAAGAAAAAAAAATTTGAAAATTACTTCTGGTATTGTCCTTGGAAGGGGGTTATTGTTTTAGAAAATCAAAAAGGAATAACCAATGTTTGTTTTGTTTGAAACATCAATTGTGCCAATGGTGCGATGCTGTTGGATGATGATCGGTGCCGTAGTTGTGATTTTTTCAAGTCAAATCGAATCGTATTCATACAATATACGTGCATGTATATTGCCGAGATCGATTCTACCAATAAAAATAATTGCCATTATCGAAGTTGTCATTGTTGTTGTTGCTGTATTCATAAATCTCGTTGTAATAATTAAACGGATATTGTAGCCTGTTGCAGCGTTGCGTAGTACACAGATACACACACAAATTAAAAAAACACAAATGAGTTAGGATCATGTTTTTGGTTTTGTTATAAAAATAAATAAGAAAGAAAAAACACAAAAAAGAAAAGTATTTCATTTTAAATGTGTTATAAACAAATGTTAAATAGTAGGATATAATGAAAAAATATAGAGAAAGAGAGAACATGAATAAGGGGCAATTGAAAATGTGGAACATTTTAACTTCCAAATTAACTCCCTAAGTTGGTGAGACATTGAGAGACATTTTTAGACTGTTTCTGTGAAATTAAAAAAATAATATGCTGTGGTTTTCTTCAAAAAAATCATTACTTTTGGTTTTGATTTCGAAAAAATTTTCACAGAAACAGACTGGTAAACTTCATCAGGGTAGAGAAATAAGACCAACATTGATAATTAAAATATGTAAAAGATGATCGGAACGGACCGACTATATAATACCCAACACCACGTTAAGAATAGGCAAACTATGATCTTACGATTTATATTGTAGGCCATAAATATGACATGAGTCCTCAAAAAAGAATGCGCGACCGCCCCTCTTCAGTCGGACACATTTGGTCGGATACATCTTATGGTTTCATGTACATGAAATCGACCGACGCCATGGATTGACCTTTTAAAAATATATTTTTAAAACTCTACGCCTTAGATAGGCTTTTAAAAATATATTTTTAAAACTCTACGCCTTAGATAGGCTTTTAAAAATATATTTTTAAAACTCTACGCCTTAGATAGGCTTTTAAAAATATATTTTTAAAACCCTACGCCTTAAAATATATATATTTAAAAATATATTTTTAAAAATCTACGCCTTATATAGGCCTTTAAAATATATACTTTTAAAAATCTACGGCTTTGATCCTTTTTGGATTGTTTACATTAAATCGGAGGAAAGTCTATATGGAAGCTATATCCATGGCTTGAGGGACACGTAAAAACATATTACTCATCATTGTAGACTCATTTCGGTCTCCTATGTAGCTTTTTCTAAGCATCGGACGACAGTGGCATCCTCTGAGTACCATTTTCATGAAATCGGTCGAAAAGGTATATAGGAGCAACATTCATATCTTGAGTGATTTGAATAAAACCTTATACACCTGTGTATGGGACTAGCATACTCCTCGGACGAATATACATTTGGAACTATATATACATCTGGCGCTAATCTTAACAATTTCAATAGGTTGTGGGACGAAATGCCGTGCACTTGCAATTAAATTATAAATGTGGCCAATACTTTGTTTACAATAATACATGGGTTGGACATTCGTCCGTAAATCAAAAAATTGAGTCAAAGTGTGTATAACCTCAAAATTTTAAATGGGTCTTCATATTTTTCCTCTTATGGATGTTTCAAACATATTCAACAAAGCGTGGTGTAGGGCATTAATAATAAAAAAAAAATCAACTGGTGGTGAAAAAATTAAATTTGTGTTTTTTTTTTTAATTTGAACCAAATACTTTCTTGGTAAGAAAAAAATTTTTTTAATTCTATTTATAAACAAATTAATTGAAGAAAAACATTTCAATTTTATTTTGAGCTATATATTACTATTTTTTCAATTATTTAATAGTCTGTCTTTGGGGCGGTAATTTATTGTTTTGATGTGAAACCTTTTTAGAAATCGTTATCTTTTTTATAAAGGACCTAACAAAACTATACATAGGTATATGAACAAAATACAAATAATAATTAATTACATACTAAACGATGATTATATACTAAGGGGATAGTATGAAAACTAAACAAATTATATCTATATAATATATAGAAAGAAAACGTATTTCCATTAGAAAATGGAAATAACGTGAAACGATGGGGAGGGAGGGTAGGGCTGTTTTTTGTGTAATGACAATTTTTGTTTGTCTGTTTATAATTTTAAATATAACGATTTGTAACCATAAACATATCGATATGTAAAACCAACCTGAGATAATTCTCATCCAGCAAATCAACATAGTCGGCATGTTGTTCATTATCCGGTATATACAAATCATAAACATAACCTGTATCCGAATCTGAGGGCATGGCCAGTGATGGTGCAACTGTATTGGCAGCAGCTGCCGAAGTCGAAGCTTCCTCATTTGTTTTGACACCGGCAGCTGGTTCAAATGTTGCCAAAGGCAATATGGATTTTTGTGTTCCAACAGTCTTATTATCATTAATTTGTTGTTTTTCTATATCCACAATTGTGATTTCTTTGGATTTTTCATTGGCATTGTTTTCGCTGTTGTCATCCACTGTGGTCCTCAAACAATTGACCACGCGAAAACGTTGCTCTTGCAAATTTTTACGCATTTCTTGACGCGCTTTTTCTGTGATATTACCGGGTTTGCGTGTTTTACGTAGTACCAGCTCTTTGGCCTCATCCTTGGAAAGGCGTGCATATTGTGTCGTAGCCGTATCATCCTTTGTACAACAAAACAAAATATTTTAATTTTTCTATCCTCAAATCTTCATTCACAACCAATTACCTGTTCATTTATTGTTCCGGCAAATTTCAATAGCGTCGACAGCTCTTCTTTGTTGGTTAATGCTGTCGCACCACTTCCTCCATCAGCCTCGTTTTCTAAGCGTCTTCTTTTACTGTTCAAGACAAAGGCCGACAAGGGCTCTTCATCAATGCGTCGCTTTACACGTATTACAGCTGGCATGTTTTATTTGATTTCTTTTTTATACGAAAGCAATTAATTTTACAAAATATTGATTTAACACAAATAATCTTTTAAGTTTTATATTTTTTGCTATAGTTTCGAATTTTAGACGCCGATTGAAAACCTCCTTTTAGCATATGCATTAAGTGGCATGGCAGTAAGTCAATTTTCACATCAAGGGTACTGTAAATCGAGATGACGGCGTTCGAATTTCACGATAGATATATTATTTACACGATATTTATTTTACAGAAATTCTATCATAGAGCGTTCTGGGGATTTGATAGAGGAGGGGAATAAAATTCAAAGGAGTTGTGAAACCAAAAATGGTACAAATTAGAAATGTTTGTGGATTTTTTTTGGCTTTAGGTCAATTGAGAAAATCGTTGGTTATGTTTTGGTTTATTTTTATTTGTCTTTGGAAGACATTTTCAGGGAAATACTACAAAAATACAAGTATTTAATGAGATATAAACTTAATTATATTACAAAGGGTTTTGAGAAAATCAACAATTAGAAATTGTTAAAAAAAATATAGTATAATTGTAATTTATAAAAAAAAGTCAAAATGAAAACGCGTTATTTTCACAGTATCGTGAGTTGGCGAACGTGTAAGATATGTTGGTTTGATACATAGTACAATTATACAAGATATGGTATCATTTGTCAAAAATACACCTCTACAAATGCAACAAGTCGTCCTGTTCATTTGACATATATTTAAAATATTACTAAAAACGCGAAAAATTAATGGATGTCAGGATTTCTTTTCAAAATCGTGTTGGGAATATTTCTTCCTACCAATGTTGTGAAATTCATCTGTAAACAAATGGATTTTTGAATATATTTTTCAAAACATTACACACAGTCACACCTTTTGTATACGACTTTAGCATAACAAGCCACAATATAAAAAAAATTGTAATTAATAAGTTGGTAGGGCCTACAACGACATGTACGCTAGAACTTTTTTGCATTGTTAATCTTCTTTATGAGGATTTATTTGACAAATATGCAAAGGAATTGACAATTAAAACCCACTGGGTTAATGAAATCCGGTTAAATGTAAACGTACTATACCTTGAATAATTGAACCATGGTTAACACTTGTTCTGTTCCCGTACTACAAGAATCTACTAAAAAGTAGTAGATTCTTGCGGTACGGGAACAAACCACCTGTGTAATTGTGCGTTTAGATTTATGAAATCCACTCGATCTCAAATGTCAATTCCATAGCGTATATGCTAAATATAATCCACTGGGTTTGTGAACATAATTAAGGAAATGACATTTGAAATCGAGTGGTTTTATTACTCTAAACGGGCTCTAAAGACCTATGTACATGCCGTTTAAACCTCTTCTATGAGGACTTACATGGTACAATTATAAAAGGTAACAGCAAATCCCAGCTGATTTGATTCCAACGTAATACTAGTGTCAATATGCATTTGACAAATTATGTTTTTAAAAATCACCCAACAGAAAATTGGGAACTAATTCAATTCGAAATTGTTATTTATCAAATGTCCTCCCGTATTCAATTTACTCAATCTGTCTGCTGGGATCGTTTGAGGAAGCAAATCTTTCTTTAAGGAACAACTCGCTATTCCCAGCATTTGCATATGTGTTACACCTATATATGGCAATGGCTCAATTATAGTAAAGATGTGGAAGCGATAGAAATATAAATTTGATATATTTTCATTCATGTTTTTCAATTTTTATTTTGTGGAATCAAAAATATAATTTGTTCTCTTGTTTACATTTTTCTGTCAAAAGAGTTGACACTAGTAGAACTTACAACAACAAATTTCCATGTGGTTGTTGTATCGTTTGTTGTACAACAATACTTGCTGTTACCTTTTATTATTATACCATGGAGGACTTATTTGAAATTTATATAATGGAATTGACATTTAAAAAAAACTGAATTTATTAAATCCAGTATAATGTATATATATCCTTTGTATAAAATCGGATGAAATATATATATATATATATATATTCTGATTTTTCTCAAATTTTGCAGATGTTTTTTTATACATGTTATAAAAATCCGAACGAAAAAGAATTTGTACTAACACTCATTTAAATGTTTCATTAATGTTAGTGTTATATATATCAATAAACTAAAACTACTAAATTAACACCACCAATTATTAATCCATTAAATAAAACAAGCTTATATTTTGTTTATAATATTTATTCTTAAATGTTCTTAAGCACATTTAAAGCATACATATATATCTTTTTTCTTTTGTTGTTTTGATAATAATATTAGACGAAAGTTTTTAACCTAATTTGCTATATTAGCACAAAGTATACATTTATAATGTATCACTATTCTGTTGTGTTGGGTTTTTTTGTAAGGAATCGATTTGCATATATAGAGTTTCATAAACTTCCACCAGCTTAGTCGGGATACAAATAGTCTTGTAATATATTTTGAAAAGCAATTTTTATTTTGCCACGATCACGTCCGTTCAGCTTTTGTATGTCTGGCAAAAGACTCATTAAGAACATAGCATCTGGATCGGTTTTGCAATCGCATAGCTCAGGTGTACTTGCTGTGGGAGCAGCAATGGCCAATGAATTGCCGAGTCCATTGGAGAACTGGTGACCGCCACTTGACGGCGCATTGCTATTGCTGGTAGCTAGACTAGGTTGGGCATTTAAATTGGAGATCTCATAACGTGCAGAATGATGATGATGCTGCTGCTGTTGGTGTGCGACATGGGACATTGTTGATGCAGAATAGGGCATATGATGGTGTTGTGTTAATGAACGTGTTGTTGTTATTGCACTTGAATTGCTAACGGCCTCGGTATCAGCATTCGACATAGATGTCGAGTTGTTAGAACCCGTACTACCGGAATTATTGCTGCGACCCGAGGAAGAGTTGTGACTTTGTGTTGTCGTTGTTGTGCTGACCACATCCAATGGTTTGGTAAATGTGGGTCTTACAAAAGATACATTATTTATGGATGGTGGTGTGGCAAAAGCTTGAGAACTGGATATGCTATCCTGAGATCTAGCTCTTTTGTTACGAAACTCTTCGTAATAGGGGCGTGTTTGAAGTCGCTGCAAGTTTTGCAACCGCTGATGATGTTGTGGCGTTTGACGCTTTTCCGTTTGATAATCAAAATTTCTTACATCCGCATCTCCATCGGCATCATGTAAATCATCATCGTCACCAGGACGTTCTACATTATCGTATTCATCGTTATTATCTTCACATTCCGATTTAATATCATTGGCCAGTGTGGAGTGGGCAAACTGCGATGAGTTGGGATGCTCTTCATCCATCATGTCATCCAATTCGGAGGGGTTATTTTCGGGATCATCAAAATATTCCAAATAGTTATCCAATTGTGGTTGGGAAGGTGACGAACCGGCCGTGTTATTTGTGGGACCCAAGGTATTGGCGGCGGCAGCAGCAGCCACAGCTCTTTCCCGTTGCAAACGGTTGGATAGTGAACTTATCTGCACCAAAGCATCTTGTACTTGAGAATCCAGCGACTTGGACTGTTGATGTTTCCTATAGAACGAATACAAGAAAACACAAATATTTTTAGTTTGATTGTTCCGTCATATAAGCCAACACTCACTTCCTTAAGTAGGGATGCAGGAAGAACATACGATCGAAATATGTCCAACATGGTGGTACTTTCTCTTCCAAATAATTCGTATATTCTCGACGGAACGAGATGCGTAAATTTGTCCATTTGGCCAAACTGGCACCAGCTGCAAAAAAGGAAAAATTTCATAACATCTCATTTCAAAAGACCTGTGGCAACTTACGATTCTTCTCCAATTTCAGATCCACCTCACGCCAAAAGTTCTCCACATAGGGACGACAGAAATAGTATTTGTGACGTGGGTTATAAATAGCTTCATTTCGCTGCACTAGATCTATTAATGCGAAAACTTCTTCGGTTAGCCAGCGTGTTGAAGTACATTGATTATTGCCTGCCGACGAGGATGAACTGGGTGGCAGCGAAGAGCCCGCCAGTGATCCATAATAGTCACTGGACATTTTAATTGAATTTCATTTTTTTTCCAGTAAATAGCGATGTGGACGACGTATTTCTTGTTGAAAATCTAGGTTTATTACAACTTTAATTGTTGCAATTTCGCGAGACCTATTTTATTGCAAAAAATAAACATAAAAACATTAGGGATATATAGGGTGAATTTGTGCCGTTGTGTAGACAACGGCTGATTTAGACGTGGAGAGCCCTAAAATGGGGTTTGTTACACGAGCCACTCAATGTGTCGTATGTACTGTCAAACTTTAGACGTCTGAGTACTGTACACATCATGTGGTTCACACAAAGATAGAATCTATCACATCTGGTGGCCAAACAGTATATTTACCTTTTGCGGAAAAATGTTGCCCACAGCCAACAAAATGATTTAGAGCTTTTATTTAATTTGCAGCGAATGGACGACTCATGTAAAAAGGAATCTAAAAATTCTAATTTTTGGTCAAAATGTGTACAGTACCATTTTGTATATACTGTCCAAATTATTTAAATTGCTTTGTATTCTTGTAAAAAAGAATATAGAGAATAATTTAAAGCGATTTTTCATCGATTATGGATTTTATTTTTTAGAAAAAATGTACTGTTTTCGGTTGATATTAGTTAGGTTGGGGAAAAATAAATCCATTATTTTTTCGGCAGATAGCTGTACTGATATATTTCTCATAAAGTATCGATCAAACAATTTCAGATTTATGCTCGTTGGAAGGTTGACATTTCGCAGTAAAAAAATTATTTTGCTGTTTTTTGTTTGGTACATTCAGTTGTGAGTTACAGGTTGTTAAAAATGGAAGAAAACAAACAGAAAATTTTGTACCTTTTACAGTTTTTGAAAAGGGCGAAAATGTAAGCCAAGTTGTGAGTTACAGGTTGTTAAAAATGGAAGTAAACAAACAGGAAATTTTGTACCTTTTACAGTTTTTGAAAAGGGCGAAAATGTAAGCCAAGCGGCTAAAATTGTGAATGGTGTTAAGTCCTGATTTATATCTTTTGAACTTGCTTTATTCGTCTATACAAGGCAAGTCGATTTCAAAAATATTTTTTTTTACATTTTGTGACAAAGTTCTGGATTGGTATTTCAAATTACTGACACTACAAACAAAATACACAAAACGAATTGAAAGAAAATTGCCGGTACTCTCCTTCAAACAAAGACTTGCCGCAATTAAACTCGCCTAATATAAATTGGGACTAACAACGTTACCTAAAATCCGACAGGGCGTACAAAAATATTCAACTTCACCACTATGGCAAAATGTTGTGAACGACCCAAATACGTCGAATCCATATCTTCCAGCGAATAATACAAACCGCAAAATTATATTGAAAATTTATTAAATTAATCCACATATTTTGAGATTCCATTCGAAATTTCAAATTTCCTGAATGTTTTGTTTTTATTTTCAACAAAAGAAAAAAAAAGAAAAATACGTTCTGTCAAAGTTGAAATTTTTCAACTTGAAATTTTGTACGTTCGACGTATTTCGGTAACATTCATATAAATACATGTGTTCTACTTTTGTAGTGAAAAACGTCGAACGAGCTAGTTGAATTTTAGGTAAGGCTGTAATGGTTCCAATACAGTAACAGCCAATTATGTGCAATTTTGGTTTCGTAGGATGGCATAATTACAGAAGGTAGTCTCACTTGAGAAATTAATAATGGTAACCTTTTAATTTCGAACTCATCTATCAATTTCAAATTGTTTGAAAAATAAATTCCTTAAAATTGTATGTATCCAATCGACATGCATACATATTTTTAAAAAATTTTAAATGTATACTTTTTAAAGATTTTAAGTAATAAATATCTCAATTTTTTAATCAACATTGTTTTTAAAATATGACTATAGATGTTACAACTTATATTTATAGATTTTAGAGGTTGGGAACATCAAGATATTAAACATTTTGTAATTTTTGTAATTATTGCCACCGTGTTTTGCGTACATTTCGAAGGAGGTTATTTTCATTTAAATTTTGAAAGCTGAATGTTGTCAAAAGTAAAATTATGAAAAAATTGGAATCATATGTCTGCATGAGACCACCTTGTGTAATTATTTCGTAGATTCCGTTCAAGATTTTTTTATGTTAAAGATGCACCTCGCAGAGGCAGGCCGGTCGTCGAAAATGTCGATAAAATTGGAGAAATGATCGAAGTTGACTGGCATGTTAGCAGTCGTAACATCGTTTATAATGGATTTATTTTCCCCCTACCTAATACAATAATTCTTTCTGGAATATGCGGATAAAACAGTCAATTCTTTCTGAAAGCCAGAAAATAAAGGATGTAGCGATAATACATATAAACAATATTAAGAAAAGCAAATGCAATATCGACGAAGAAATCACTTTTACTTGTTCTTCGGGTTCTTTTTTACAAGAATCAAAAATAATTTATACGATACAGTTCGTTAATTTCAAATACGAAGCCATTTATATAATTTGGACTGTATACACAAATTGGTACTGCAGTCAACCATATATAGTAATTTACTTTTGTATGGTAAATGACGCTTGTGATGATGAATTCTCACTTGTTCTCAATTTATTTCTGTTCAACACTGATCTAGGCTATCCAGAATTTTGTGACATAGTTAAATTCGTCCCAATATTAAAGATTCAAACCATTTTTTTTTTATTTTTGACAGGTATTTTGGGTAGCAATAGAATGGATTTTTATATCAAAATTTCAATAATTTTTTTAATTTAAAACAGGGTAATCCTATGTCCCATTTTATCATGTCGTCATTTCTCGTGTGACATTTACAACTCCGTAGTAATATATGTATCCCCCGATATGTATATTGGCGCCTCTAGTGTCAAATAGCAGCACTAACAGTGTAAACAAAATTTGGCGCTCAAAATGCCATCACTTATCACAAAACAGATGTCAAACTATTTCGAATTTGGCGTGTGTTTTGATGTAAAGCAATTTTTTGCGACATCCTTCATTCTTGATCAGTTACTTATAAAGAGATCCTTGAAGGATACAGATTGAGTCGTGTTGTTATTGTTAAATTGTTCATAAAAATATTTTGTTGATTTTTTTGGGAGTTGCGTTTGTTTTTTGCTAAAACATGGATATTGCTGATGCCAATGTTGGTCAATTGCGCGTTAAAGATGAAGTGGGCATTAGATGTCAGAAGTTATTCCAGGATTTCCTTGAGGAGTAAGTAAAGAAGAAACGATAGTCTGAAGATGTATTTTATAATTTATTTATTTGTGTTTTAGATTCAAAGAAGATGGAGAAATAAAATATGTTAAACCGGCTGGAGATTTGGAATCACCGGATCGCTGTACTCTGGAAGTCAGTTTCGATGATGTGGAAAAATATAATCAAAATTTGGCCACAACCATTATTGAGGAATATTATAGGTATGTTTTTATTTGGATTTGTGTAAATAGTTTGAAGAATGAAATTAAAGGGATATCTTTGCAGAATTTATCCATATCTGTGCCAATCTGTATCCAACTTTGTAAAGGATCGCATTGGTCTAAAAACTGAAAAAGAATGTTATGTATCATTTACTGAGGTGCCAACACGCCACAAAGTGCGTGATATGACCACCTCTAAAATTGGAACGTTAATTCGTATTTCCGGCCAGGTGGTACGCACACATCCTGTCCATCCCGAACTGGTTTTGGGTACATTTATGTGTTTGGATTGTCAAACGGAGATACGCAATGTGGAACAACAATTCAAGTTTACCAATCCGACAATTTGTCGCAACCCGGTGTGTTCAAATCGTCGTCGTTTTATGTTGGATGTTGAGAAGTCTTTGTTTGTGGATTTCCAAAAGATTCGCATACAAGAAACTCAATCTGAATTGCCCAGAGGTTGTATACCACGTTCTGTGGAAATTATCTTACGTTCTGAATTGGTGGAGACGGTACAGGCTGGTGATCGTTATGATTTTACGGGAACGCTGATTGTCGTTCCGGATGTTGGTGTCTTAAATATGCCTGGAGCCAAGGCAGATCAGGGATCACGCCACAAGGCGGGTGAGGGTCCTGAAGGTCTTACAGGCTTAAAGGCTTTGGGTATGCGTGAACTCAATTACCGCATGGCCTTCTTGGCTTGCAGTGTCCAGGCTACAAATGTACGTTTTGGTGGTACTGATTTGCCCATGTCTGAGGTCACAGCCGAAGATATGAAGAAACAAATGACAGATGCTGAGTGGAATAAAGTTTACGAAATGTCCAAGGATCGTAATTTGTATAATAATCTCATATCGAGTTTGTTCCCCTCAATTTATGGCAATGATGAAGTGAAGCGTGGAATTCTACTGCAGTTATTTGGTGGTGTGGGTAAAACCACACATGAAAGTAAGTTTCAATATTTTCTTTATACAATTTTAAATATTTACAAATTATTTTATTTTACAGAAACAACTTTGCGTGGTGACATTAATGTGTGTATTGTGGGTGATCCCAGTACGGCCAAATCACAATTCCTTAAACAAGTGGCCGATTTCTCGCCCCGTGCTGTCTATACCTCTGGCAAAGCTTCATCAGCAGCTGGTCTTACAGCCGCTGTGGTCAGAGATGAGGAAAGTTTTGATTTTGTCATTGAAGCCGGTGCTCTTATGTTGGCTGACAATGGCATTTGCTGCATTGATGAATTCGACAAAATGGATCCCCGTGATCAGGTGGCCATTCACGAAGCCATGGAACAGCAAACCATTTCACTGGCCAAAGCTGGTGTCAGAGCTACTCTTAATGCTCGTACTTCCATTTTGGCTGCTGCCAATCCCATCAATGGCCGCTACGATCGTTCCAAAAGTCTGCAACAAAATATCCAGCTTTCAGCTCCCATTATGTCCAGATTCGATTTGTTCTTTATTTTGGTTGATGAATGCAACGAAGTGGTGGATTATGCCATTGCCCGGAAAATTGTTGATCTCCATTCCAACATTGAGGATAATGTAGAGAGAGCATATACCAGGGAAGAGGTATTACGTTATATTACATTTGCTCGGCAATTTAAACCCATCATTAGCAAGG